CACTGCCTGGCTAAACCTGATGTTTTGTTCATTCATTTGTTTTGTTTTGAGCATGCATGGTCTCGTCGGTGAATGCTAACACCTAAGGTTGCTGCGAACATTAAATGGGAGATGTTTTAAAAGTCTGGCTCATAGATGGGTTCAGATGAGTGCAGACTCCATCCTGGAGAATGAAGGCTCTTCCTGGAGAGATGATGCCAAGAGAGCCATGGGAGAGAAGCTTGGACAGGAGCTCTCTGGTGACCGTGAGTCATAAGCTAAGCGTTCTCATCAAAGTCCACCTGCAAGGTGGGGTGGAGCACAGCTGGAGCCTTTCCACTCATCTGGAGACAGGGTGACACCCAGCTGCAGGGGATCCATAGGCTAAAGGGTGGCAGGAGCATAAGGAGAACCTGTGGCGCCCGTGATGTCAGGCCCCAGCGTGAACCTGTCACTGTATGCCGCTAAGTGAAAACTGAAAACAGGCACACATTCCCAACTGTTCAAATCATGTTCAAAATGGCAATATGCTATAAGAACATTTTTTAAAATTAAAAAGCCCAATTTTTGCTGTTTTGATTCCTAAACATACAAAAGGAATTATAGCAAAGGATCCACGCCGATTCTTCCTGGCCGAAGGGCTGGTGGGGCTACTACTGCCCATTCTCTAGGTGGTTGTTTTTGCCGTGTATGTACATTTCCTTGTGGAATAATTTTACAAGAAAAAAACACACTGAGTGTGACCTCCACAGATTGCACACACTGGTGTGAGCTGACATTCAAGGACCCAAGCAAGGTTTTGGGGCTCTGTGGTTCAGTGCCTCATGCCACCTTGACTAACTCCATCCTCAGTTGTCTTTGAACCTCATGTGGATCAGGGTAGAGATGCGTGGACACTTTAAAATCTATCTTTTCACTTAATTCACGATGCTATTGAGAGCTTTCAGATGTATCGTAGTCACTTCTCACCGGCCCGGAGGTCAGCTAATGTGCTTATAGATGAGGGGACTCATCGGTAGGTTGAGCAGCTTTCTCTGGCATCTGGGAAATCTGAGGCTTGTCTCTTCAGTCCCAAGCCCTGTGTCTATGTATATACCCGCCTAACCCTCCACCCACTGCCCAGTCTTTGTTCTTTCTGTTTTGTTTTGTTCTCTGAGTCGAACTACACCCCTTAAGGTGCCTTTCCTCCCCAACAAGGGATGACATTGTACGGAATATGAAGGAGAGGGCCCGGGCCTGGCTTCGAGGCAAGGTCTCCTTCACCAGGAGGCTATGTGGTTGGCAGAGGACACAGGCGCCATGAGGTAGGGATGGGACCACCTCAGTCATCCCCCTCAATGCTTCTGCTTTGCCTCTTTATTTTCAGCAGATCTGGAAGCAGCTGTGGTTGGCTGACCTGTGTGTAGACAGAACCCTGAAGGTGGGGCATTCAGGGCAGAGGGGAGACCTGAGCCTCCTTCTGGGCCGCTTGCTTTGCTTCACCTTCCTCTCTCCTTTTCGCCTCCCCCTCCCTCCCATCTTCTCCCTGCTCCCCTCCTATCCCCTCCTATCCCCTTTCCTTTTCTCTCTTCCTCCTGCTCTTATTCTTGCTTCCTGCTCTAGCTAGAGTGGGAAGATGTTCCTGCACGGATCCTGGCTCTGGGTCAAGACAAGAGAAGTGGGGGCGGAGAAGGACCCCAGGATGAGGATTCCAGTGGCTGGAGCCCTTGGCTGGATGGCAGCTTTCGAGCAAAAGGTGATGGCATCCTGTCCCCCTACAACGCAGTTCTGCTCATCAAAGAACCATCAGCTGGGGGAGTGAGGTCACTGGTGACAGACATTGGGGTCTTTCCCTCGCTCTCTTCTTTTCTTCTGAAACCAGCTCTGTCACCCCAGGCTGCTGCTGACCTGATGTGGTGCTGGAATTGGTGGTGGGCGGGGCTCAACAGCAGCTGTATACTCTTCAGGGGGAATTTTGACAGGCAAGTGGGGGAGGGAGTGGAGCACTCCCAACTGTCCCCTGCTCCAGGACCAGAGGACAGGGCATAGAAGACTTGATTGGGTTTCAGCTGCCCTATCCCAGGACTGGTGTTGGTGCATGCTGGGAATGGACTCTTGCAGACCCCTGGCCCAGGACCACGGTAGACTTGCTGTTGATGTTAGTTGAGAGAATGAACGTGAGCAAGTCCAATCTCCTTGCCCACAACAGCAACTGAGAGGGTATCTGTTCCTCTTTCTCAGCAAGGTCTTAGTGTGTGTCTCGGGCAGCTTCTTTGGGTCTTGATTTCCTCATCTGTACAATGGGAGTGTTGATAAAGCCTTCCTTAGTAAGAATAAGAAGTCAGTGCTTCACAAATTAGGGACCTCACAAAGTGTTCCCATTCTTCTTATGAAGGAACTTTGAAAACAGCAAAATGTGGCATGAATATGAATTATTATTATTTTCCTGTTCAGGATTCTCATTTCAGAGAGCCAGTTCCATTTTACTGGGGAAGGAGTTCATACATTAAATAAAGTTAATGGTAATGCTGGTATCTTTCTTTATTGGCGGTCCCTCAGGTGTCAGGCCCTGTGCTGGCCTTGCCACATGAATGTCACAGGTGCTCCGAGTCCTACCACTCCGAGTGTGCAGACAAGGAAACTGAGGCGCAGAAGAGTTGAGCTACGTCTTTGCAGCCACAGAGCCAGGAAGCAGAACAGTGAGGATTCCTCAGATGAGGATTCTGCCTTCCTCCTTGCTGAGTCTGAGGACCATCTGAGATGTGGCCCCTGTATCACGAACCAGCTTCATGGGGAGAATCTTACTGCACAAGGGCTGGGGACAGAGGAAGAATTTTCTTCCAAAGTCCCAAGGCTCGAGAGCACTGTGCCTCACTGGTTTCTACCTCCCATAATCCTTCCTCCTCTTGTCTGAGGGTTACATAATTTAATCATACCCTCTCCCCTTTTTGGGGGCTGCAGGAGTAAGAATGATCACAGATATGGTTGCTCCTCTTCCCCTCCTGGAATCTGTGCCTGCCTGCCCTTTTTTCCTTGAGTCCAGCCTTTGCATGCACCTGCATATGTGAACAAGCACCCGTGCAATTTGCCTATGAATGCATGCTTGAACATTGTGGAATGGGCAGCCGAACATCCATGGTAAGCCTGGAGTGTTGTTGCATGCATGTAAAACTGGCACACAGGAAACTGAGACAGGAGCATCTTGAGTTCAAGGCCAACCTGGGTTACAGAGGGATACTTCTTAAACAGGTCTTTGCAGTGAGAGAGCCCCTGCAAGGCTTCTCCGCTAAGGCTTTCCTTTATTGGTGACTTTAAGCACCGAACTCTTGAACCAGTTCCTTCTCATCACATTAGTACCAGGAAGTTCTTGTTGTTCACTGGAACCAGGCCAGGCAGACATTTGAAGCCCTTATTCTTCCCCAGTCCTCCATCTCTTTCTTTTGGGGAAGTTAAAGAGACTCCTTGCTGTGGTCTGAGTGGCATTATACTGGCCACTAGGTGCCCCAGACTCTAGGTACCTGTGCTAACTCATGCCAAGAATCCAGAATCACAGTGTCCAAGATTCCCCCATCTTCTAAGCCTCTCCCCATCCAATCCGATAGGCTCCCAGAGACAATGCTAATCATCAACATCCTAATATTCATTTCATGCTGGGGATGCTGTGTGGGGGTTGTCTCAGATATTTGACAAGGGCTCTGTGGTATCTGGCCTCACTGGCCTGTCCATCCTACAGGTGAATCCCCAGGTATGTGACTGAATGGCAGGATGGAGGAAGGAACACAGCTCCATATCTATGACTCCACAGAACTGTGTGGGAGACAGGAAGAGTCTGCATCCTTCAGACTCATTTGCCACTTTCGTTTTTGTTAAGAATCTCCCTGCCACCTCCTCCTCGCCCCAACTGTTGTCAAAGAGAGACGGTCCCTCCTGCTTCCCATTCTAAAACCAGGGAAGGCTTCAGCCATCTTCTCTCCCTTTCTCCTTCATTTCCACCCAGGTGGAGAGGAGAGGGCGGGGCATGCTCTCCTTTCCCTAGAAACATTTCTAAGTACTCTATGCCTGAGACTGGCCAAGAGGGTACATGTAGGTCAAAAAACCGGAGGGAAGATGGCCTGGGCACAGTTGCCCTTCAGAGCTAAGACTTGCTGCAAATGCCCCCCTTCACTTCCTTCTGGCTAGTAAGCACCAAGTCCCCACCAAAACTGGGTTTCAGGTCAATAGAGAGTGGAGGGTGCATTTCTTAATGGGAGGGTCTAGTGCACAGAAGACATAGTGTTCGCAGGCCATTTAAGGGGCTCATTCTGAGGCCACCCATCTATTACCTGAAAGGGTGGGGCAAAACAAGCCCTTGGATGGGACTTCTGGGCTCAGACTGGAATTTTTACGAGATCCAGCCTCTACCTACCCAAATTAACTTATATTTATTTTATTCACAGCCACCCCCCATTTGGATTCCGTTCCCTTTCTTTTTCCATGTCCACTTTATGGAGAAGAATAAAATTTCCAATGATTTAATTAATCTCACCAGCTGTCTGGCTGCCCCAAAGGACCTGTCTCCTCTATCGTAGGAGTAGAAGAAAAACAGTTCTTTGTAGGAAGGAAAAGAAAAAAAAACCAAACCAACAAAAACCAATTCCTTTTTCTCTCTCGCTTTGGTCTGAGAACCCAAGGAGCTCCCGGGCTGTCTGCCCCCTAAACTAGGGACAGAAGTAGAACACCATTCGCTCCCTCCCTTCCCCTCAGCATGCGAGCGTGCGGACACACACACACACACACACACACACACACACACTACAAATAGGATGTATCAGGAAACCCGACGGCTATGGTTTTATTACAAAATTTATTTTCAGATGCAATGCGAGATCAGCTGCTAAATCTGAGACTTTTCCAGCACCCTCCTCGGAATCAGCCCCCACCAACCTGCCCGAAATCCTTATGCGAGTGACCTCAACCCCGTATTGCATCCCCCCCCCCCCCCCCCCCCCCCCCCCCCCCCCCCCCCCCCCCCCCCCCCCCCCCCCCCCCGCTTCACTCCCACCCTGCCCGGAATGTCTCTTCGTAAAAAACCTGTGACGAACCCTGTGCTCCCGACCCCCACTGGAGCGCATACAGAGTGAGAGCCCGGAGTGACAGTCCCTTCGTGCGCTCTGCTGCTGCTGAGTCCCAAGATGTTCAGGCTGGGGCGGTGCGAGCCACGTCGCTGACCACAGCCGGGGGCTAAAGCCTCCAGGCAGATGTTCTGCGGTCCCTTGCTCGCGGTGCTGCGACGTTGGCGAAGGCGGCGGAGCTCAGTACAGTCCCAGGATGGCGGCGCCCACGTCCTTGGAGGGCCTGCGCTCCTGCATCAGAAAGTTGATCATGCTCTCGGACTTGATGAGCAGGTTGCAGCCCAGAAAGAAAACGCCGAAGACCACGGTGAGCGACAGCACGCAGAGTACGGCGATCTGAGCCACGCGCGACACCCACAGGCTGCGTTCGTCGGGCGCCAGCCCCGCGGGGACCCCGTCGCTGGCGGTCAGCGGTGCGCCCCCGGAGCAGCAATCTAGCCACGTGCCCAGCCCGTGGCTACGGTTCCCCAGGGCGGCCCGGGCGTCGCCACCTGCCTCTTCCAGGCCGCTGTGGTTCAGGAAGCTCGCGTTCATCGCGGCGCAGCGCCCGGAGTCTGGGCGCGCGGTCCAGGGCGCGCCGGGAGCTGGCAGCGTCCGCGCTGTCGGGGACGCCCGGGGGTGGGGGGGCCCTTGATCACCCTTGAGCCGGGACGAGAGGAAGGCGGGAGGCAACCCACGCGCTGGTACTCTCGGTCCGCCTACCTCCCCGGCGGGAAACCGGCGGCCGGGAATAGAGAGCAACAGGCGGCGCGCGAGCTGGAGGGAGCCAACAAACAGTGCGTGGCAGTCGCCCACGGAGATCCGCGCCAGCCGTGCCGCCCCGCCCCTGGCAACCGCCGAGCTCCGCCCCGCCCGCCCTACCTCTCCCTGCTCCAGCCCACTCGCGGCGCCCAAACTGTGGGGACACGAATCTTTCCCAGCGTGCAGCCTGTGCAAAGCTGGCTTGAAAGGGTCAGAACGTCTGGGCAGCTCCCGCCCTCGGGCCAAGTAACCTTGACTCACTCTGGGCAGCTGCGGTTTTGTTCTGCTTATAAAGAAAGCTGCCCAACGAGCCGGTTCCCGGAACTGTGGCTCCAGAGGCGATCTGGAACCCTTCTCCACTTCATTTAAGGAGCACGCGGGGTGAGGTGAGGGCCGTGGTAGCTATGGCCCCCAGCGTTGCCTACTTCACCGGGCTTGGTTCTGGGTGGCCAGGCCGTGCCATACTATCCCTGCTGGAGCCTCTCAGCTTTTCCCTGGCTGAAGGGTGTCACAGCCATGAGAGCTCTTTGTCTCCTACCCTAAGTCAGGCCCCACACACCAACCCTACTTAATACATTCATTAAAATTAAGTCATTTGGGGGAATTTTTATTTATTTATTTGTTTGCTTGTTTAATAGAAGCAGTCATTGTAGACGGTTTAGGAAGATCAATTAGCAAAAGTGTGTGTGTGTGGGGGGAGACCCTCTAAAACTGCAAAATCCTGCAGTCTGGGGGTTATTATTTTCTAGCACAAACTCTTCCCCATTGTCTCTATTTGTGTTCCACACTGCAAACGGGAATGCAGTGTCCTGACTACTGTAACGAACATGCTGTTTCGTTCTGCAAGTATCTGGCCCAGACAGTCTGGGCTTTGCTTTTGGCAGCAAGGTTTCTTTAGAGAAATGCTTGGGTCCGTCCTTCGCTCATTCTTCTGGTCAGACTAAAGTGTAACCTGGACTTGGAGTCCATGTCCTTGACTCCGTCCAGCTGAAGCCCGGCTGTCTGATACAAAGGGTGGTAGTGGGAAGAGAGTAGGGGACCTTTCAGGGCAATGCCTGTTCCAGTGAGCATGGCCAGCATACATGGCCAATGCCTTGGTCCATAAGCTTTCAGTTATTCCTGCCTGTTCCCAACCCCCGTCCACCATCCCTGGGGAGATTTCTTTGGATAACTTAGTGTGGAAGGAGGGACCCAGAGATGTTTGCCCTTGACCTGGAAAAAGAGAGCTTGGGTTTGGGGAAAGGAAAAGAGACCACCCCACCCGACTGAAGACAGATCTAGGCTATTCACTAAGATCTTGCTGGGACAAGAGTTAGCCAGTTGCCTGTGTCCATCTGATTGGAGGCAGGCAGAGTAGGAAGCTTCACAGTGGAGGGAGTAGAGCCCTGGGGTGGGTGGATCTGGAAGTAACTAGGCTGGGTGGCTCTGGCACAGAGTTCCTTACAAGAGTCCTTCCAGGTTTTGACTAAAGCCACAGTCATCTGAAAGGTAGGCTGGGGCAAAAGGATTAGCTTCCCAGATCTCTCCATCTTAGTTAGGGTTTCTATTGCTGTGAAGAGACATCATGGCCATGGCAACTCTTATAAAAGAAAACATTAATTGAGGCTGGCTTACAGTTCAGAGGTTTAGTCCATTATCATCATGGCGGGAAGTATGGTGGCATGCAGGCAGAGACCTGTTGGAGAAGTATCTGAAAGTTCTACATCTGGATCAACAGGCAGCAGGAAGAGAGAGTGAACCAGTAGGCCTGGCTTGAGCTTCTGCAACTTCAAAGCTCATCCCCAAAGATATACTTCCTCCAACAAGGTCACACCTCCTTATAGTACCACTCCCTGAGCCTAATGGGGCCATTTTCATTCAAACTATTACTCTCCCTCAGTTGGCTGTTGGCAGGAACCTCAATCCCTCACACTGGCCTTTCCATTTTTTTTTCACTTTCCTCATGGCCAAACTTGGAGAATGTGCTAGAAAATGAACAACTGGTAGAAGTGAGAGGGAAGGAAAACCGAGGCTGCAAAACCAAATGCATCAGCAGCTCTCACTGTTGTTGAACTCTGGCTGCAAGCCTTGGTGAAAGAAGCCCTTACTTCCAGAGACCTAGAAGACAAATCTTACGAGGTCGTAGCTGGCAGTGTGTCACAGACAGTATATAAACCCATAATGCTCACAAGCAAGCCCACACTCTTTCCAGCACTTGACGTATGTGGGCGGAGAGATGTGTAGATCTATGTCACTGGGAAGGAAAGATGGGAAGTCCAAGGTGTGGGGTGGGGCCTCAGAAAGCCACAAGTTGTTTGTCACCTGGGCTGCCACCCTCCAGAGAGAAGGAAGCAGGTGCCTTTGGGGCCAGCTGCCACCCACATGGGACTATTTTTACCCTCTACCTCAGCCACAGACTGCATCCCTCAGATCTGGAAGGGCCATGTGGACAACCTGGTCCCCAAGAGGAACTGCCAGGGGCCACCCAGAGGCTGCAATGTCCTGTCCTGCAGCTGTTCGAATGAACCTTTAGTTCTCTGGCATGTGTGGCCCATCAGGGTTAGGCCTCATTAGTGCTGCTGGCTAGCCGAACCCTGAAAACTAGAATGTCCTCATGAGCAGATACTGGAAACTACGCTGTAAACAGGCTAAATACAATGCTCTATGCACACATGAGTTATTGTAACAGAGGTTAGACCAAGTTAGTTTGCATGTTCAACCATCCCTTCTCTCCCCTTTAAAAAAAGTAAACGGTTGACCATGGAAAGACGGTGCACTTGGGAGAGGCCGAGAGCCCTTGAGTGGAGTTTACTCTGTGAAGCGCTGCAAGCAGCCCTCCTTGGTTCCTGTTTACACAATTCATTACTTAGTGAGCTCTTCCTGAGGCAAATTTGCCTTCTGCCCAGTTCCTGTCCAAATGGCCTTACGTTTCCTGTTGGCAGACGGGAGAGAAGCCAATGACAGTTTTTACTGCACTGGGTACAGAATTGTACACTAGTTGCTTTGTTCACCCCTTGTTCACATGATGATGGCACTAGGGTTGTGCCCAGTCTGCTGTGGCAGGTGTGTAGAGGGGAGAGGGAGGCCCTCAGACTGTGGAAAGGGGCAGTGCCAATATAAGTGTTGCAAAATGGAGAGCAGATACATTTGTCATGGGTATGAGGGACTTTATGCCTCACCTGTCTGATTTAGGCTTGATTGACTGACTGACTGACTGACTGACTGATTGATTGAAGAGAGGTCTTGCTATAGTGTCCTGGCTGACCTGGAACTCAGGATGCTTCTGCCTCAGCTTTATGGGTGCAGGATAACAGGTGAAACACCATGACCAGTTGGTTCACATTTTATTAAATATTAGACATAGCGTGAATAATAAAAAACCAGAGACAAGCCGGGCGGTGGTGGCGCACGTCTTTAATCCCAGCACTTGGGAGGCAGAGGCAGGTGGATCTCTGTGAGTTCGAGACCAGCCTGGTCTACAAGAGCTAGTTCCAGGACAGACCCCAAAACCACAGAGAAACCCTGTCTCGAAAAACAAAAAACAAAAACAAAAAACAAAACAAAAAACAAAACAAAAAACACCAGAGACAGATACTGGGGTTCAACGTGAAGGTCAGAAAAGCAAAACAGCTAGCCAGTGGCTCTTAGCTTTTTTTTTTTTTTTTTTTTTTTTTTTTTTTTTTTTTTTT